ATATTTTGAGCAACATTTTCAGTTGTTGCTCTTTTTGGTAAATTGCTGACGGTTACACTTGTGTTGTACCTTTGCACAGTTTTTGTTACTACCGAACGTGATTCGGATGAATATTGTTTCGAAGATCAGAAACTTGTTGATGCGTCCTTCTCCTGTACTCATAACCAATTATCATTAATATTTCTATTCTTTCTCTTTTACTTAGTTCGGCCATTTTAAGTTCAAATTCAATTACTACTTACTTATTTTGACATCTAATGACAATTCTAGAATGATTTTCATGGACTACGAGATATCATTAGATTTTTCCTTACTTTAGTTATGTTTTTGTTAAATGTCGGTTGGCATTGAAATAAAAAATATCAAACCCAATATTTTTGAATTTGTAATAAAATACCTTATTCGAAATTAAAATATTATAAAGGGTGTTTCATTAAAAAATTTAAAATCGATATTACTTCCGGTTAAACTGGAAGTTCAAAATTAATAAAAAAAATAAAATCAAATAGGCAATTTAATGTAATACCTACCTTCCAATTTTCATTTCGATATCTATAACAATTCCAGAGTTATTTACTTGGTTCCACACATTTGTCCATCACTGTATAATGATACAATAAGATAATATTAATACTGTTACCGCCCACCCCCCGGTCGCTTCTTAATTATTAAAAGTCCGTATTTTTTAACTACTCCCCTTACCTTTTGTGTAATTCAGAGTAATTCATACTTACTTCACTTGACCTTTTCCCTCTAGTAGTAATGATGGTCTAGTTAATTAATTGATAATTTATATATTCACGTTGTGATATTGTTAATTAAGATAAACCAGGATTCGATGCAAAGTTTATTACAAATTTGCGAATGAAATAAAACTCAAATTAAATTATACTTAAATAGGTAAATGAGAAATTATATTTCTCAACGAGACCTCACATTTGTCCCGCCCAAATATACAGGCCAAAGGGCCACTTGCCATTAAACATATACTGTTGAAGAATTCTTGAGGATATACAGCAGACGTTCTCAGAATTGCACTATCTTTAATAATTGTTTGTTTCGCCGTTTCTTTTTACTTCCCTATCTGTATACAGATATAAGGAAAGTATAGGAATCATGATTTTTTTCGACCTCGAGTTTTTGATGGATTTTTACGTTTTGAGGTCCCCTGAATCCGTTTTGACTATTTTCGTGATGATGTCTGTGTGTCTGTGTGTGCGTCTATGTGTCGCATAACTCATGAACCGATACAGATAAAACACCAAATTTGAAACTTAAGCTTTGTTCCAGCGTCTAATGAGCTGATTAGATTTTGGGTAGAGTCGGAACATCTGGGGGGTACTTTATAGGTGGTCATTTTTATATTTTATGAAATATGTCTGTTATTTACGTTTGGGGAAGAAAATTCTTCAAATAAAAGTTACTTCTAATATTATTATCTATAATTTTTGTTCTATATATAATTTTCCTAAAATGATCCGTATTCGAGAAATTTGACAAAATGTAAAAAATTATTTTTTATAAAAATTGTTCAAAAAAAAGTTGTTTATAATATAATTCTCTATAATTTTAATTACATACATAATTTCTCTAAAATGGACCGTATTCGAGATATTTGAGAAAACGGGTAAATTTCGAAATTTGAAGAAAACTCAAAAACGGATAAAGAAAAAAACATTAAATTTTAAACTTAAGTTTTATTTCGGCCTGACGTGAAATGATAAGATTTTGGACAAAGTCGGAACATCTGAGGGGGTACTTTATGGGAGGTCGTTTTTATATTTTATGAAATATATCTGTTATTGTTCAAATAAAAGTTACTTCTAATATTATTATCTATAATTTTTGTTTTATGTAAAAATTTCCTGAAATGGTCCGTATTCGAGAAATTTGACAAAATGTGCAAAATTCTGATTGTTATGAAAATTGTTGAACTAAAAGTTGTTTGCGATATCGATCTCTATAATTTTTGTTTTTACATGATTTTTCTAAAATGGACCGTAATGGAAAAATTGTAGAAAAGTGCTAAATTTTAATTTTTCAGTATTTTCGTTTTCAATGAATATCTATAGAAAAATATTTCGAGATAGATGTATATGGAAAATGTATATATTTAGTTTATCCTCTAAACATTTATAAAGGTGCTGCAATAGGTTGTACAAAATAACCGAAAAAAGCCTGTAATAACTAGATAGGAAAGTCATGTGTTGCGACACATCAGATTTTTTATATACTAAGATACACTCGTTGCAATAACACAGACGGATATCCTTTATGTTTAAGCCTCGCCTAGGTGGTTTATGTAGCGTAGTCCTACTAGAATAGAGCCTGATTAATACCAGCCAACTACCCATTATGTTCAGATCTACCTACGGTACGAAGATTGAGAGATAATTATTTAAGATAGTCCTACCCTGCAGTGACATCAAGCATATTTGTGTAAGATGTGAGTCTAGCCATCTGAAGCATCATTTACCCCAATCAGCTGAGCTGTGAATTTAGTAGCTATTAGCGAGTATGTATCGGCACTTAGGTAGACCAAATTCTTAAATAGTTTTAGGCTAGTATAATAAAACGGCAAATGAATACTGGGACGTGTCCATCTAACGGCCAATATATGACGATAATGAACAATACATTTCTACAATAATGAATAGTATAATAACAAATCTCTTTTAAATTATTGACTCGCTATCAATTTCTACGTTTGTATATTGTTGTTGATACGTGGAAGTGTTCCTGATTTGGAAATATTGAAGGGGCTTCGGGACGTATTGCACCGGGATGTTGAGCGTCGGAATGTAAAGCGGCGGGATGTAGAGGGGGCATGGGAACACACAGCGTCGTATTAAAGAGATCGTCGTGACGTAGAAAGTTAGGGAAGTAGGAACGTAGAGCATCGGATAGAAAAGATGACGTCGGGACGGGTAACGACGGTACGTAGAAAGGTAGAAAAGTAGGGCGGTGTTACGGTGAGCGTCGTGATGGGACAACGTTTGGTGGATAGGTCGTCTGGACGTATAACTTAGTGACGTTGGAGTGTCGATAGGAAGTATTGTAGGAACTGCGTCGGTTTAGGAAAGATACCAACTACTGAACTTGATATATACCAGATTTGAAGGGTAATAAATGAATGGATTTTGAAATAAAATGAACTGAGTATGATTTCTTAATAAATAACGATTTCCTCGAGAGCGGGTCTTTATACCTGATTTAATGATTTTTATAACGTCAACTTGTCGTAACTCCATTGGGAACAAATTGGGGTGGATCGAGAAGGGGTGGTCGATTTATTACTTGCCTTAAAAAATTTATTTTTCGAAAACAATGTTACTATTCAAACTTGACTTAGGATAAGTGCGTAAACTGTTATTATTTAGTTACAAAATGTATGTCGTATGGTCAGAATCTGCACCTGGTCACAGGCATTCTGACTGGTCATTGCCAAGTACAGAAGCATCTCTATATCGTGGAGCTGTCAGAATCCACACTCTGCAGAGGGTGCGAACAAGAAGATGAGACCATCGAGGATATCCTTTACGATTGCTCGACGCTCTCATTTATTAGAAGATTTGTGTTCGGCGAGTATCGGCTAACACCGGCCGATATAAGGGAAGCACCTCTTGGCGACGTTGTCAACTACAATAAATCTGTAGGATGGCTCACGAGCTAGAAGGTGCCTATCATCTTAGGAGGATGCACAAAGGGCCTAATGAGGCCTAAGTACTACTATGGGTAATCCACCCTACACACGTTACAGATACAGATTCAGACGTCGTATGGTGATTTCGGGTTGGGTTCCTAGACCCTTGCAAGAAAATTGGATCTCTTATAGACAGGGCTATAAATATTATTTTTTCGGTGTCGTAAATAAGATTAAATTATCTGGGAGATTTTTCGTTAAATAAAGGATTTTTAATTTAATAGCATTGCAATATTTTCTTTAATAAATAAAATTAATAAATTATGAAGGTACCTGGGTGCGGTAGGTTACAATAATCTCCCTATCCATTCCCTCACGAGTGCATTTAACCCTATAAGCACAGCTTGTGCGGAGTAGGGTCGGCTACTATTATTAGCCGTGGCGCTCCGGGGCGACTTACAGATGATTGATGGTGCCATTTGATTTACAGATTAGAAAAACCCGAAAAACCCACCCACCATCATCGACACGGTAACTCACAGGGATTACTCTGGACGGCGTATCAACAGAAAAATATTAATGTTAATATGTTAATTCACATTGGTCTGCTGTAGTTCGGATTCTACAGCCAAAATATATATTATGTAATGCAATAAAATTTCTTCATGAATGGACTCTGGGAAAAATAGAAGATGCAGCTAATTTTATTAGTGGGCAGAATAGTATTTTTTGTTTAAAAGTTCTTCACCAAAAAATTAAAATGGGCGTAGAAATGGTAGGAGGGCTATATAACAAATTAAAAGTTTGTCTAATGTTTCTAATTTGAAATATTCAATTGAGTTTTTCTAGAAATGGTACGAGCCTTTTTTTTTTTTCATCATCAAAGATCTTTCTTGTGGTTCCCTCTGTTAGAAATTGTAAAATTATAAATAAAATATTCCTTAAATTATATTATGTCTCTGTACCAATTTTGATAATATTTTATTAAGACATACTTAGTCCAGTCAATATATTTGTCTCCAAATAACCTTGCCCTTGCTCTGTGTCCCAATATTTAAGTATTCCCCTGTATTAAAAAATGCAGATTTAAAATATCATTAAATAATCATTGGACACGGTCGCCTTTTTGAATGAAGTAATAATATAAAGAACTTTTACAACAATCTAAGAATATATTGAAAAACAAAAGTTTTTTGCTAGCTTATTGAAAAGATATAATGTGTTCAGCGCCCATGTATTTGTCATAAAAAGAAGAGGTGGTTCTTAAAGTCGGAGTCGCTGAAGCTACACCGCGGACACCAAGAGATTCAGTATGGCCCAGACTGCCGTACAACGCAAACGGATATGTACAGTGTTACAAATATAGACTGAAATACATCGCGGACTCGCGAATAAACAAAAATGGGGCTGAAATCTGTGATTTTCGGGGAAAGAACTAACAGTGACGACCTAAGTGTAGACGATATTAACGCCACGATGGCGTTGGAACGTCGTCTCGAAATGAGCACGGAATTTTTTTTAGTGCCAAGTAGTAGCACCCCTAGTACGACGACAGTAAGTTACATTTCAAAAACAGCATGCGCGGGGTGCCCAGTAGATACAGACAAATTAGTGGGTATTTTTCGAAACGAAGTTTGGGTCATACCGGTGCTAGCACTATCGGCAATAACAATGATTCTGATACTAGGTTTCGAGGTGTTTGTGTTGTGTAAAGCGTGGCGGACGACCCCTAGTCGAAGGCACTTATTTTTGGGACAAATGCTGTTACTAGGGTTGTTTTCATGCGCGGGACTGTCAGCTGTATTTGCGGCTTCTCCTACCCAACTTACGTGTGCTATAGTGCGATTCGGCACAGGAGTAGCATATACTATAGTATTCGCTTCGTTATTAGTGAAGTGCGTTTTTTTAATTAGTTTAAATGGAGGCGTATATCTCCCAGCACCCTATCAGGGATTATTATTACTTTTCGCAATTTTAATACAAGTAGCTATAGGGGTGCAATGGCTAGTGACGAATCCGCCCTATGTAGACGATGTTGCAGTGGAAATGGTAGTGAGTCAGAATAAACATAAACTTTTACTGACTGTCGAAGATATTACTAACCCTATTCTCATACCGTTATGTCGCACTCCTTACATCGATATGCTTCTATCGCTAATTTACGTCGTCTTTCTAATACTATTCGTAACAGTTTTAGCAGTAAAATCGAGAGGAATCAGAGACAACTACCGAGAAGCGACTTATATTGGGTTATCGGTGGGATGCAGCATTCCCACGTGGTTGATCTGGACCATGAGTGGACTGGTTGTTAATGAAAGGCATAAGGATGCTTGTATCGCCTTTGGGCTCGTTTTATCTTCCGCTTTGGTATTTTTAATAATGTTTATGCCAAAGGGAAGGCAACTGGCTGCTATGGGCAAGGAAGGTGTTTACGTTGAGGATCGTGAGGAACGTTTTAGTACTCTGAGTCGAGCAGCTTCAGGATATTCTCCCAGCTTTTTCCATTTCAAGCCGATTAAGTATGGATTAGGACATGGATCGTCACACAAAAATCAGAATACGATTACTACTTTGGGTGGAGGTAAGAATTTATATTCATCATAATTACGAAAACAAATATAAAATAAGTTTAAACTAAATTATTACAACGCTTGATTATAAAGTAGAAAAATAATTTTAATACTGTTTTGTTCATCAATATTATTTAATGCAAAATAATGTTTAAATATAAATAAGAAAAATCAAGTAGATAGTATGCTCTACTTGTTTAATACGAATCTTAGAAATTACTTTCTTCGTTTTTTTATAAAAAATACAAAGTCAATAAATTAAGTTTTTCCTTCCAGAAGAAACATTTTAATTAACAATTAGAGTGGGTCTATGGATATAAGGCCATATATGAATATAGGGATTAAAAAAGAGAATAATTTAAAATCCTGTGAATCTCGTAAAAAATATAACACATATTTGTAAGAGCATTTTGCTAGTGGTTTTCTTGAGATTTATGTTTAGTATTTTAATTAATAGTATACTTGATCGATGCGTTTCGAAAATTAAAATTTAAAAAAAATAGAAAACATTTTCCTCCATGGTTCTCAGTACAAATTAAAAATTAATTAAAAGAGAAAGATTATGATAGAAGAAAGAAAAACGTTTCTTCTTATTATATAAATAATTATAAAAGCCTTAGATCTAAACTAAAAGTAGATATAAAAAATCCAGTCTATTTTTGGAACTTTGTTAATCTTACCGATGGAGCAACGAATTATCCTGAGAGAATATCTGAGGCATTTGCCGATTATTTATCGTCTATTTTACATTCAGTCGGATAACAATAGTAACGACTATGATACAAATACAAAAAACTCGGGTATTCTTTTTTTCTCACACATTACGTTATAGCAGATATGGAAAATGCATTTTGTAAGCTTAAACCAAAAAAATCTTCTGGTACGGATAATATACCTTATTACGTAATTAAGGTATGTAAAGAATACTTGCTATATCCGCTAATGGTCATTTTTCAAACTTCATTGAAAACATCTATATTTTCCGAATGGCTAAAGGAAGCCAAACTTACACCAATTTTTAAAAAAAGGTCGAAAAGATTTGGTTTCTAACTGTAGGCCTATAGCAATTCTTAATGCTGTACCTAAAACATTTGAAAATAATATTTAAAAAAAAATGGTCTGGCACGTTAAAGAAACCATATCACAGTCTCAGCATGGTTTCTATCGAAATAGATCCATTGACACAAACTTAGCTTGTTTTCTGGCAAATACCTTAGTGGTCACCAATCAGGGCGGGCAGATGGATGTAGTGTACACAGACTTTGCAAAAGCCTTTGACAAAGTTGATCATGCTATCTCTTTGCGTAAATGCGTAAATTAACAGCATATTCATTCCCTAAAACGTAAAAGTCTAAAATAATCTCGAAAGGTGACTTTTTACGATAATAAAATACTTCCCTTTTATATAAGGAAGTAAAAATAATAAATTATATTTTCGTAACAGCTTGATATGTTTCAATAATATTTAATATTCAGTGACAGTTAATAATAATGCATATTTTTCAATACAAAAATCATTTTCAGCTTTAATAGGGCATGCATACGGGCACTAAATTCGATATTTTTAAAGAAAAAAATGGTACGCCAATGGTTTTTTCCCAAATATTTTTTTTTAATAATATTGAGTAAAAAAATAAAAATCGTTGTATTGTCCGAGAAAATTAATGAAATTATTAAAGAATTAAAAAAAAAAAAATTTGTGTATTTGGACCATAGTTTATAATGGAAACTCTCATTAATTTTTATTAATGAGAGTTTCCATTATAAACTCTCATTAATTTTTCATGTAGATTTACAATATTAAATATTCGTATATCATTAATACATTTTTTCGTTTTTATTGTATTAATTTTGGATAAATATACTTGTATACACTAACATCCATATGTATTTTGCGTCTGTCTATACATAATTATAAAAAAGTAATAGGTATAAACGGAAATCCACGGATTTAATATTAGTACAAATCGTTAAAGATTATAAAACACGATTAACAAAAATCAAAATAAAATTGCAAAAATTTTCAGTTTCAAAAATAAAATATGCATTTAAAAATGTACCAAGTATTTTTAAAGGTTTATCTAGAGTTGGTAAATGAGGTCCTTCAATTATTAGTAAATGAGGTCCTTAAATTATTAGGAAAATAAACAATTGTTCCGGAACTCGATGATTATCATTTTTTTCCTCAATTTAGATTACATTTTACTTTTGATAAAATATGATAAGACATTAACTGTAGAAAAAAATATATTAACTTTGAAAAAAAATCATGTTAATAAATATCTAATACACTTAATTTTTTAACATTTCTCTTCCTTAATATTTGACAAATTAATGCACAAATAATCGTCAAAACTAAAAAAAACTTATTTGTTTTTCTTTATATCATCATAATTTAAATATTTTATAGCACCTTTAGCACCGTGTGTAGCCAAAAATTAAAATCTGACAAAAATATTAAAAAAATATGGTTCAAATATATAAAAATTACTGAGTAATGTGTTTTATAATTTTTATTGAAACTTTTTTTATCTATTAAAAAAAAACAATTCTCTATATTTTTATTAAAAACGTGTTACTTATTTAAAATAAATCAAAGTAATGAAAAATAAAAACAAATTATTTAAAACTCTTAATAAACTATTGCACGCTGATATTCTTTATATAATTTCCTTATTTCTTCCTTTGTTTATTTGGATATTAAATATTAGAACCTAATAAAGTTATTGGCCCGAATAGGATGAATTCCTTTTAACTGTTTGTATGTCATCCTTGTTATAGACAAATCATAGTGACCTAAGTCTTCTTTTAAAAACTTTATCTAATACAAGTCATCTTTTCACTTTCTATTATCTTTCCGATGTACCATGAATCATCGTAGTAGATGGTGTAATATTTATCAGTTTCTATTAAATTGACATAATTTTTTGTTCTCTCTAAGCTTCATTTTCTAAGGTAATATTTTGAAAAAGTTCTTGACCTTCAATTATGTTATCACTTTCTTTTAAGTTTCATTTATAATTAAATCATTACCTGAGTCACTGTCAGAATGAACGTTTTCTTTGCTTTCTTCATAACATTTTATGTACTATATATTTTTCCAGCTGTCTTTATACACCAGCATATTTAAATTTTGGCAAGACATTTTATAAACATTTAGAGCATCATTAATACATTTTTCAATAATAGCTGTTTTATTTAAAAATTCTTTTAAGTTTAGATCTAAATTATGTTCTCCTAGGGAATATAAATATGTCAGATAAATTTGGAATATAGTCGTTAATGTATTCTATCTTATTGGTTCTCTTAATTATTTCTATCACACTGAAATTAAGTGTTGTCATCAAAGTGGATGACATAGATATCGTAACTCTAAACAGTTTTTCACATGTTGAGAACTAAATGGCCATGGTAAAACATTTCTTTTGAAGTATTTTCATCAATTTGTTTATTTTCTTCAAAAAAATTATTTAACTTTATAATAACATGTGCATTAAGATTCACACATAAATATCTATTTAATGTTATAAAATTATTTGAGGTTTGCTTCAGAGCTTATCCATCGCCTCCATATTCGTAAAAAGAACACAACATACCACATACAATAAATTCCAGTATAAATCGAAACAGTTTTAACCAAAAAGGCCACTTTATCTTGTTCATTAAATTTAAGTGTTCGACGGTTCCTATCCCATCAGGTTAAGTTTTTAATACATTTTACAATATTTTAGAACACGTCTTTTCTGAAGATTTATTATTCATTTTATCATTTAAAATTTAAAGACCAGATGGTATTAGCAGATGTTTATCTCTGGCGAATCTTGCTATCAAATCAACTAAATTATTTTTTTAAAGTGCAAAATACCCTATTTCCATTTTATTTGTTTTTTATTTTGATTTTTTCTTTGTTCATTAAATTCTTCACTGGTGCCTTCGCAATTCTGGTTACGTTTAAGGTATGATTTTAGCAGTCTAGTTCTGAATTTGGTCATTATAAGAACATAATCTTGGATACAACAGTGTCCATAAGAGACTTGTGGAACCAGTCCCATGTTTCACAAGATTGTTTATCAGTCTTAGAAATTTTACCTAATTCGTATGGCTTTTATTTAGCAGCTATCATTATCTGACGAAAACTTAAGTAATGTAACTCCGTGTTAGCTTGCTTATTTTCCTAAGAAGTCCCATCTTTTAAGAACCTCTTCGTAAGTAAATCTATTTGTTCCAAACAAATTAAGTACAAATGAAGCTTTACGATCTTTTAATGGTTGTGCCATAATAACATAGGCAAGTTTAGCTTGAGAAGAATTTTCAGAATAACTTTGAATAGTAGCTGAATTTGTGATAAGATATGAATTTTTTTTTGGAAAAGCTGTGTTGTCGAAAGGACTTACAAATCCAATTATGCTGTGATTTTCTTTATTGTATTGAACTTTGTTTGCAATTATGATTCCATCTTCGCCAATCCAGACATATAATGGTAAATTATTATTTTGGAGATATTCTCTTAACTCTTTCATACGCACATCGTTGAAATTGATGGAAGCGAAGATTTCAAAATGGCAGCTAAAGTTTCATACGCTAATGGTAATTTTGTTAACAAATGACCTAACGCAATAATATACAGGGTGCTTAAAAAAGTTATATTTTGATAAGTTTTTAAATATTTTCTTACAGAAGGGATTATTTTTTAAAACTAAAAATAAATTTTTAATCAACAATAATTTTGACATTTGAAGTTTTCTTTAAAGTTAAAATATTTTTACAGTATACTTCGTACCCTTATTAATTTTTCCAATAACTTTATTTTACACCTTGCTTTTGTCCTTTATGAGGGTTACTTGGAGAACAATTCCCGGGAATACCTGTGAATTCCCATGAATACCTGAGAATTCCCAGTAATACCCAATACTTGAGAATTCCCTAAAAGATGTATACAATAATTCCCAATGTATTTACCCCTCGGCTATCGCTAGATACAACCTTATGACAACAGACAGGTTTTTGCTGAGTTAATAACCTGCAGGACTTTGATGAGTTGGGAAGATGGATGTTTGTAGACATTTCTCAGCAGATTTTGTCAAGTTGAGAATCAGGACCTGAAGGATGCAAAATATGCCCTATGAGGCCTTAGTGCTGTAAAGCAGCTTATCCTCTTCACCTTACAGATAAACATACAGATCTATCGAATATCGATCGAGGGCTCCAAAATCCAAAAACTTTAAAGAAATATATGATCTATATGAGATATATATGAGAAAGTAAGACTTCAACAACAATTTTCGAATTATAATTAATTTTACTATTATTTATTGATTAGATGGAGTAGAAAAAAACTAAAAATAAGGTTTTTGAAATATTTAGGTTTTGTTTTTTACAATAAAATATATAGGTTACCGTGGAATTTATTGAGAAATTATTATTAAAAAATCACAAAAAATTTTCAACTAGGTTACTTGAAAATTTTTTGTGATTTTTTAATATTTAACATTTAACCTTCTTAAATTATTTATTCGAAAACTTTTCATAAAAATAATTAAACAAAAAAGAAAACAACCAATAAGCACATTACAGCAAGTAGATGCATTTTTTTTCATGTGCACTTTAATACACGTCCCAAAGAGCACACAGTCGTTTTTTCAACGTAAATATAACGTTGTACGGTATAAAAAACGTTATTGGTTAAAAATTCAAGTTAAACTTTTAGTTAAAAATTATACGTATAAAAAAATACTACTTTCTAACGTATTTGTTTAGCTATTTTTAACTGAATGTTGAAAATTTAATAAAATAATACGTTTTTTTTTTGCAATGATATTTTCTTGTTTATAATTAACGTTCATTTTTTATTTCGCTTGATACTATATTAACACTATATTTAAACCTATAATAATACGTAAAAATTATTTTAAGTTTCATAAAAATCGTATTGAAACGTTGTTGCATTAAAACATTTTAACGTTTGATTTATTTTTTAAACTAAAAATATACTTTATTTCAATATTAATTAATTAACTATATTTTAATATTATTTTTAAACGTTTTTATGTAACTAAAAGTTAATAGTTTTGTTAAATATGTCCTAAAGAAAACGTTCGTGTATTCGTGCCTTTTAACGTTTGGTTAATAATATAAATCAAATATCTACATTATTATTATTATTTATTTAAGTATATATTAATATAATTTTAAAATGTTGTTATATAATTGTGGTTCTACCGAGAGTTAAAAATTTTGTTTATTATACGTTTAATAGTAACGTTAGTTTAACTTACATAAAAGTCGTAATAAAACCGTTATTGTGCCGGAAAACGTTATTTAAATATTAGTTAAATAACTATATTTTAATATTTTTTAACGTTGTTATGTAACGAAAAGTTATAAAATTTTGGTAAATATTCATATAATATGAACGTTAATTTAAATTAAATATAATTCATATAAAGTGGGCTGTACAATAGGCAGTTAAAATGAAATCTTAGTTTACACTGTGAACCTCGTTGTATGATCATCGGTTATTGTTAAATATAAATTTAAAAATTAAAAATTAAACTCCTGTTATTTTTTTAACGTTGTTTTGTATTTGTAGTTCTACTGAAAGGTAAACATTTTGTTAAATATACATGTAATATTATCGTTAGTTTAAATTACATAAAAGTCGTAATAAAAATGTTATTGTATCGTTATATTTTAAACTAAAAATTGACGTTGTTTTAATGTTTATTAGTTATCTATGTTAATAATATACTTAAACTACAAGTTGAGAATTTTGTTAAATATACATATACGTTAGTTTAAATTAAATGCAAGTCTTAGAAAAGGTTATTGAATTCCAACCTTTTAACATTTGGTTAATAACGGAAACTAAATATCTACATTGTTTCAATATTAATAATTTTGTTAAATATACGTATAATGTTAACGCTAATTTAAAATAAATATAAATAGTATATAAAACGTTATTGTATTTACACCTTTTAACGTTCTACCGAAAAACAGACTGTTGCACTCTTAATCGTAAGCGCTACGAATGATATGATGAAACTTGAATGGTAGTTCAGTCAATACAAAAGAAGCAGATTCATATTTATATACACACACCCCACATAAATTATCGCATCTCTAAAATGTTAGCAAAAAGTTTGAAGTTATTTTTTTTTCTAAACCGTTTGATCGATTTGGATATTCTTCTTTTTGGATGATAGGTTGATTCGTGGAGATTAATAATCTCTATAATTCTGTATTTAAAATTTACTTTTTGAATGAATACTGGGTGTTGCCATAATATAGGGTTTTGGATAGAAAATTTGTAACACCCTGTGGGGTGTACCAGTAATAACAGCGTATTGCAATTAATAGTCGACTTTAGCCTCATCTTTTCGTAAAATGTTCCTTTTTGGTTCGTTTTATTATCTCTATTTTTAGAGGAGATTTACAGTTTTTTATCAGTCTCTTTTTACAGACTCACATATTGGTAGTTTACAAAGGTTTACATGCATCTATTGAATAAAGTGAAAGGTAGGCTTTGACAAATGAAAAATTATACGTAACGTCATCCAAATTCAAATTGACAGTTTGCTGGTATATAAATTTTTGCGGTACCTTTCAACACTTTTCATTGTGATTTCTTACAATACTTACATTTAAACTGTGTACTAAACTGGATTACAATGAACGTTCAACGACACTTATCTGAAGAACCGGCCGTAAAAGTAATTACTCTGATTGAAGATGGACGAAGTCAAAGATACGTTGCTAACGTAATTGGGGTTCAACAAAGTACCATTTCAAGAGTTGTAAGGCGCTATAGAGAAACCGGACAATATTCTAGGAGAGAAGGTCAAGGACGTAGAAGAATTACTACAGGTGTAGATGATCGTTTTTTACGAGTAACGGCCTTAAGGACTCGACATTGTACTGCGCGAATGCTTCAACACGACCTGCTAGCAGCTAGAAATGTAAACATATCTTTACAAACTGTCAGGAATCGCCTTCGTGAACATAATTTGCGAGCAATGGTTCCAGCAAGAGGTCCACTTCTTACTAGGGCGCACAGGGTTGCCAGGTTACAATTTGCTAGAGAGCACGTGGAATGGGGTCTTGCAGAATGGTCCAATGTACTATTTTCTGATGAATCCAGATTTTGTCTATATTCCTTAGACGTATGCCAGTTTATCGAAGGCCAGGTGAGCGTTATTCTCAAGTCAACTTTCGTCATACGGAAATTTTTGGCGGCGGGTCGACTATGGTATGGGGCGGAATATCCTACCATGGACGCACAGAGCTAGTGGTAGTTAATCAAGGAACGGTGACGGCCGATCGATACATACGGGATATTCTGGAACCTCATGTGATCCCATATGGCCCTTTCGTTGGTGAGAACTTCATATTCATGCAAGATAATGCACGACCACACACGGCAGAATAGTCATCGATTATCTAAATGAAGTTAATGTCACTGTAATGAATTGGCCAGCCCGCAGTCCAGACATGAATCCCATAGAACACGTATGGGATCATTTAGGATGGGCAATTCAACAAGATCGTATTCCATGTAGAACACTGGATGAGGTTCAAAATAAATTGGTTATGTTTTGGAACAATATGGATCAAGGCTATATCCACAACCTGTTTGAAGGGATGCCAAGACGAATGCAGCGAGAGGAGGCAACACTCGGTATTGAAAATTATTGTATTTTAAATTAGGCTTTTAAAATTAATTTTGTTTTGTTAAAGATTTAATAAACATTCTTGTTATAGTGTTATGTTTCTTCGCATATTTCCTCTAAAAATAGAGATAATAAAAAAAAGGAACATTTTGCGAAAAGATGAGGCTAAAGTCGGCTAGTAATTGCAATATGCTGTTATTACTGGTACACTCCACAGGGTGTTACAAATTTTCTATCAAAAAACTTATATTATGGCAACACCCAGTATTCATTCAAAAATTAAATTTTATTTACAGAATTATAGAGATTATTAATCTTCAGGAATCAACCTATCATCCAAAGAAAAGAACATTCAAATCGATCAAATGGTTCAGATAAAAAAATTATTCAAACTTTTGCAAAATTTTTAGTGATGCGATAATTTTTGTGGGGTGTTTATTTGCTTTAGTCTCTACCGTTTGAATATTATATTGAACTTATTTTTTATAATTTACTTTGAGTTTAGATGAAAGAGTTGTTTTACAACGTTTAATTATTGCATAATAATAAACGTTTAATTGTTATTTTAAAATATACGTGTGAATAATACGTAATGAAAGTTTATTTGATTGGCATATAAACGTTATTTGAATCACTTGAAAATACGTAATATAATAACGTTAAGAAACGGGAAAACAAAACCGTTGCAATATTACGTATAATTATAATACATTTTTCTATTCAAAATCAGCCGATATTTCTCCTTTTTCATGTTAGAAACTATGTAAAATTCAACGTCTGATTCTAATATTTTCTTAATAGTAATATAAAACGTTACAAAACATAACGTTAATTTTGTCATTTGTGGTTGT